CAATAGGCTTCTTAGAACCACTGATTTAACCACTTGCTGCCGGATGGTTTGAAAAATGCAGAGCACATAATTAGGACTTTTTCAAGATTTTCAGTTTTCAAAATTCTTTCAAAATGCATCATTTCAATTAATGGACGTTTACACCCACATGAATTACTGTCTGGTGGACACTCTAGTCTGACAGACAAAATCTATTGACGCCTGAGTATTTCAGCCAGGCCTGCAGCCTTGTAAAAGGAGCCCAGATTGTGCGGTGTTTTTAACTTTCTTTTGTTCACAAACCTGGAACAGTGCACTGATGACCTTTTTTCAACAGGGGCCAGATTAGCATGCAGCGGTGCGGTGTGGCTCATCGCTGCGGTGGTGGAGCTCTTTTGTCCCAGGTGGTAATCCGCTCGCACTAAATGCCCCAAACCATGGTATAGTGTTTGGAAACGAGGCTGGATTTTCTCCACTATTGATTTTGAAAGTTCTAAGAATCAGAACATGCAATTCACTGCCTGGAGAACAGTTTGAAGCAATTCAACTGGGTATTGCAGAGATAGAATTCCTCTCATTATTTTCACTCATGATTATTACCGAATTCCAATAAATTCTATTCAAATTTGATACAAATGAGTTGTCCAAATCTCGGCTGAAACTTTGTCTCTGACTTTGACTCTGACTGCTTTCCAACCCCAGAATTTCCCTCACCATTTGAGTTCGGCCCTGTCCGCTTGCATCTGAGAGGTGTTGTGGTAGGCTCGCAGTTTGGCCACAAGGTCCACCGAGTCCTTGGCAGCGTTGACAGCCAGAGTCTTGGGGATGACCAGCAGGGAGTTGGCAAACTCAGCAATGGCCAGCTGCTCCCTGGAGCTCTGTGAACAACATAACCAAGCAGAAATATGTTTAGAGACTCATTTGTTCTACACATATCAGGCTAACACCTGAAGTTGACATCCAAAACTACTTGTGGTAATATGTGCCAAGATACATTCACAATCTGTGGATCTGCAGCAGAAATAAATGAACTTGATGCTGAAATTTGCCTTACATTTGTACAATGGCACAAAATGTTTGATTCTAGCTGCTTGCTACGTGGTGTCTTTGGGCAAGCCACTTTACCCAAATCTTCCACTGTCAAGTATTAACCACTTCACGCCGGGGAATTTATGAATGTTGATGATGCTTAGACGGGATAATTTTCTGTTTTTCTGTTTTCAAAATTCTTTAAAAATTCATTTCTTCATTTAATGTACACTTAAACCCACACGAAGGACTGTCTGGCTTCTACTCTAATCCCACGCTCATCTATTGACGCCCGAGTATTTCAACCAGGCCTGCAGCCTGGTAAAAAGAGCCCAGATTGTGGGGTGTTATATAACTTTCTTTTGTTCACAAACCTGGCACAGTGCGCTGCTGACCTCTTTTCAATAGGGGCTAGATTAGCATGCAGCGGTACTGAGTGGCTTATCACTGTGGTGGTGGAGTGCTTTTGTCCCCGGTGATAATCCACTTGCGCTAAGTGCCCCAAACCGTGGTACACTGTTTCAAAACAAGGCTGGATTATCTTCACAATTGAGAGTGAAAAAGGTTCGTAATTCCCAGCATCCTGGTCTTTTGCTACAAGTACAGTCTTTTCTTACAAGGCCCAGTACCCTTTGTCCGATTTTGGAGACCCCGGCCACGTGTATAGAGAATACGTGTCCGGTACCGGCAACCCCGGCAGCAAGTGGTTAATAGCACTGGCTAAATGAGAACCACCAGGACAAGCATCCCAATCAAGAAGAACTGTATGGGAAGAATTCTAACTGCTTCCCATGTGCTATTCTTGGGCACACCATGTCACTTCAATTAGTGGATCTATAAAAAGTACACAAAAATAGTGACAAGTATCACTTGGTAGCAACTTTGCTTTGATTCACTGAATCATGGAATCTGCATCAAAGACTCACCAAGGAGGTAGCCAGATTCTCCAGGTAGATGGACAGGGCCGCCTCCACAGATCCACCCCCAGGTACCACAGACTTGCTCTCCAGGACCCGCTTGACCACGCACAGGGCGTCGTGCATCGAACGCTCCATCTCATCACACTGGTAATCGTTGGCCCCCCGCAGGATGATAGAGGCTGCATTGCGCACCTTGGGCCTGACCATCAAATGCAATGAAAGGGATTATTCCAGACACGCAGCATTAAAGGTCTGTTCTGTGTTGTGGGTGGGCTGTTTAAAATGAGTCTTTTTCACCTGTTTGGGTGCAAGAAACTTGGTTTGGACCCCCATCCCACTGGTTCATAACTTTGCATAAATTTCTGAACAACGCTTTATTGTACTTCATATCTGTGTTAAATTGAAAGACCCTCAAGAACAGCTGCCCAAACAGTGTTCATTGTATTTTGTAAGTGTGAGACAGATTTTAATGCAACCTAATTGTAATGTCCTGTAGGTTACCCCCCAAAACAGCCTGGACTTGCCCCTGCACATGTATGTGTTGCTGGGAATTGTCAAAGGATTTGGAAAGATTGAGGCAATGGTCACATCTTCAGGGAATAAATCCAAGAAACAAAAGCAAGATTGAGGTTGTATCCAATTTTCACATGGAGGAAGTTGGAGGAGTTTACAGAATTGTGGTTGTATCCTAGTAAATCAGGCCTATGGGGTTAGTGTTAATGTCAATGCTGACTTTCTGAAGATGTGTGAAGAGTCGTAGGACTCTCACAGGAAGCTGACCTGAATATCAAAGAAGTGGCCTTCTTAGATAAGCACTTGGTGATATTCTCTACTATGCATCTCTAAATTTAAATGCTTCATCAAATGTTTCAAGTCAAGCAGCTGTGGAAAGAACTTGTGGTTTTCATACAAACGCGTCCTGATTGTGCCTGACTTGAAATTCTTTGCTGTACGAGACCTGTGCGTTCTCCAATACCACTGAATGAGGCACTGGAGTGATTGTATGATCTCGTAGGGTACGGGCCAGTTTGCTTGACCCCAGAAATTTACTAAGCACAGAAAACATTTGTTTACCAAACATGCATCTTTGAAACACCATTCTTGAAAACTGAGTCCTTCAATTCAAGAGTTATCAATGGCACATGCAATGAATCTCCACCAAGGACAGAAATCAAGCTCTGTGTAGTGCTGCAAGTAGGTGCCAAGGTTCAGTTCAAGTTCAGTTCGGGCTCGGTTCGGAAATTTTTTGCTGAAATTCAGTTCACTTCAGGTTTGGACACGTACAAACATATACATGTACATACATGTACATATACAGTGTACATTAGACATCAAAGAGCACGCTACAACCGTGCCGTATAGTACTTCTGAGTGTAAACTAAGTTAATACAAGCAATCTCCTCTCCATCTCCATCCATGAGCAACCTCGATGTGAACATAATTTCTTTCAAAACTGTTTCCCCAAGGTTAGTTTGGGAGTTAAAATTCCACAGAAAGTTACGGTTGGATGTGTGACAGTTTGCTACTGTGTTTTGCAGACCAAAAGCAGTGTGTTTGGACCATGCTTGACTCAACAAAACGATCGTACTACCATCGTTTCAAAGGATGTGTGAAAACAGAAAACAAAAACCAGCATGCTCAAATGGGAGTTCCTTCTTTACAGGATACAAGATCAAATTAGATTTTGAGCGAATTGTGTTTTGGTTATGAAACAGATTCAACTGCCAAACCATAGCTTTCGATGTATTAGAACCTTGTTATCAAGTCAGCATTCTCTCCCAGGATGGCACCCACATGGCCAAAGTGGTGATTTTCCATCAGTCTTTCTCAAATGGATAACAGCATTTTGTAATTTAAGATTTGCATAAAACTTAGAGATATGGCAAAATTCCATTACAACGTGTTCGCACTAATTACTTTGATCAAACTTGATCAATGAAAGGCAAGTTGGGCCAACCGTGTGAACAAATATCTTGTTGCGCACTAGAGCGCTGCACTGGCCCCCCAGGCAAAATTAGTTTTCCCTCCAGAGTTGCGTTCGATGAGTTCAACTATGATCAGCATCCAATAAAAATTCACTTTAGACAGCCATTTATGACATCATTGGCCTGACGATGTGGCTATCTGAGATTGGCAACTATAATGCTAAATCTGAATACACATACGCACAGTTGGATGTAGTGAGAATTTAGAATTATTGTGCAACGGAAATGCGGTATGTTGCATCTTCTCGGTTGATTATTAGTGAATTCTCATCACGTGCTCTTTACAACCATCGCATGATGCAGGGCCATCATAAGTTTACTGTACATGTATGTACATGTACAGTATATTTATAGTACGAGTGCACTCATTATCCATTTTTCATTCTTTGCTTTTTTTATACCATTTTCGTGCGTGCATTCCGTGCACTGTCAATGCCATGCCATATTAAAGCCTAACATCCGAACCGACCAGTTTGGTTCGGTTTGAAAGTGCCATTTTTGACGATTTTTGGTTCAGTTCGGCTGCAGCGCTACCCCTGTGCAAGGTACATTTTAGTGGAGATCAAGATATCATCCAATGTCTATGAAAACCTGGTGTGTTCAGTGCTTAGCAAGCATGTGAAGATTTCAAGTATCAGAGTAGTTGACAATACTGTTAACATAAGAAATACAATTGGTCCAAACTTGTGCCTTTAGGCTGATCCTTTAAAACATTTTAACCCATCATTCAGGAGTGATAAGATCAGATACCATTCCCCACTCTTTCAACCTTATGCCCTTAAATATTTTGGCTGGGAACGTCTGAGAATCCATCCATGACCCCATGGCCAATTTAGCAAAACTACCACATCAGGTTCCCAGTAAGGTAATCAAGCCAAAAAAATACTCTGCTTGGCTCGTCGAAAATGTAGAAAAATGGTTCCAGGTTTTGTGGTTTGAAAAGTGAAAGTTTTTACGAGGTCTTTTATTTTGGTATAAAGCTGCACTCATTAAAATGTACTCTCAACAACCAGCCACAAGTTGACTCCTGCAATTTTTACATTTCTTTTCATTAACACTCTTACTAGTAATCTAACTCAACTACACCGCTGTGTTCATTGCACAAGGAAGCTGACAACATCCAGCCTAACTGTCAAGAGGCTTGGACGTACCCTTTGATGAGGATGAGTTCATCATCACATACACGCTCCACGCACACCTCTTCTGCCTGGCCCAGCATGTTGGGCTCAAATGTTTCCTCGCCTTCTAGATTAGCTAGGGTGACCAGCAGCTGGGCTGTGAAGAGTCAAAGACGAGGGGGTACAGGTCACTTTAGGTTTTGTCCCGTTATCTGGTGATAAAATGTCGCGCTTAGAGTTCTCTTGCTTACAGAGGTAGCCTGGCAGCCCATCAAGCTTTGCTTGTTTCTCAACAGGTTTAAAAAGTAGCAGCTTAACTGTCAAATCTGGCTGTCCAGTTTAAAATTCTGCGTGCTACGTTTATGTTCTTGAATACTCCCATTTAACACACAGCATTATCTTGATTTTGAAAGCCTAAAATTACTCCCAACATATGAAGAAGAAAAACTTACCCTCTGATGCCCAGAAATGAAATAAATAATTATGGGGAGGGCCGAACATGGGCACTGAACCCCCATGTTAAAGCTTCGCTTCACTCTCACTTCATTATGTTTATCAGTCCCACCAAGTTAAAATTTAGAACTTGGAGAACACAGTGGTGGTGCATATAAAGTACTTCATACCCCGAGGTCTCAAGATACTTCACATCTGCAATTTGTCAAGCGTTCACATCTGCCAATACTGGTCTTCAAGACACGACATCTCTAATCCCATTGCTAAACAGGCCCACAAACATTCATTGGATTGTCTCCACTCCATTGGGAACACAGATGCTGACGTTGCCATATTTTAAGTACAAATGGCGAATCCAACACAACCACCATCTCTGCCTCACAGGCACCCATTCATTCCCACCTACCCAAGACAACCACAGTGCAAGCCCATTAAGTAGTCACTGTCTGTCAAAAGAAAGCGATAGCATGCATTTTCAATGGCTGAAATTAACATGCGTACCACAGATGTTCACCGAATATGTGTATTCTATACGGAAAACTAGCCTTCGCTACAGGTCATAAAATACCCTCACTTTTGCCATATTGCATTATTAGTTTAGCATTAGCGAATTACAGAATAAATCAGTATAATACTACATGGGTATAAATTTGTATAGTATGATTTGTAACAAACTATTTTATCTCCTATCCTATAAACTACAAATAAGGGACATCACAGGTGCTGCGAGGTACCTCCTGTTGCTTTGGCAATCCTCTTCAGGTCCTGCTTCTTGCATCGTCGAACAGCCATGGCGCCTGCTTCCACAAAATACTTGAGGCAGAGGTCATCAATACCGCCAGTGGTGAGGATCACATTGGCTCCAGCCCCGACAATCTTCTGTATTCTCTCCTTAGTGATGTCAGCCTCCCTGCAAAGAAAGCAGAAAAAAACAACTTGGGTTGTATTTCTTTTTAACACACAAATTGTCTGTGACCTTTTTCTTTGTATTCAATCACACAGACCATTCTCAATAGCCAGTCCATCAAATTTTCTGTGCAGCTGTCCCACAGACTTTCCCAGGAAAAGCTAACCAAACCGTAGGAGTACTTCACATGCAGATGACAGTGTACACTGCACTGAAACCTTCTGAGGGCAACTTGTTTCAAGGGATGACAATTATTTAACTTCCTTCCAAAAGTCACTGAGTGTTTTACCGGATTTATACTAGCCTGTCAACTCCCTGCAAAGATGTAATTCTGTCTGCTATCACTTTTAAAAAAGGTATCAATCTCAAGAATGGCAACAGTGAGTACCACCCACTGACATATCAACAATATACATTTAAATTACTATATTATACTATTATTATTATTATATTATATATCATTATATATTTGAGAAGGGAACTAGACAAGCATTTACATGTACACTGGCCAAGTCCCAATTACTTGGCTATAGCCGTCATGTAACACACAAGTCTATGGGACATGGCTGCAGTGTGTTATTTCTAGCCACAGCTAGGTAAACTGGACATGGCTATAACAAGACTGTCACCCCAAGGGGTCCCCACACACCTTTGTCTGATGGCATCCAGTTTCTCAGGGTCTTCCACAATGACATGCACGCCCAGGTGCATCTTGGCCTTCTGCAGACTGAAATCCAGGCAGGCAATCTTGGCAGCGGTGATGCGCTTGACCATGGCTGCAAATAACATGGGAAAGAATGGAGGAAAAACTTAGCTGCAGTCACAAGTCAGAAATCATTTTTAAACCCAGATGTCATATTTGACATCATATTTATACACTTTTTATGACATCATTCACTGATGATGTGGCCAATGACGCAGGTGATTGCTAGAGCACCATACAGTGAATCTCTCAATTGAAATACAAATGTTTCAGGTCAAATTTCAGGAGTATTTATTAACAAATACGACTCCCACTAAAACTTGACATGAAGCAATTTCCTGTTCGAGATCCGCTCGTTCTTCAAACGCCACATAGCAAGGCGTTGGAGTGATTTTGATCTCGCCACGCTGAGAAGAGACTTCCCAAGCTCCTGCTGTGTAAAGAAAGATGCCATATACAGAAATTATGTTTGCTTTACCAAAACTGGTGAACAGCCCACGTCATGCAATGCACATTGCTTGACACGTGGTTTTCAGCGGATATTTGCCTTGTAGATCAATTTGCAGCTGTTTCTCAGTTTTGAGTCACTAGTGACACATTCATAGCATTTCATCGTAAGAGAAGAAATCATGCCTCAGCTGCTTGACAGAAAATCCTGCTGAGCAAATTTGCATGCTGAGCACAAAATTAGTGGAGTACCTATAACAAAGAAAACACACTACATTATGTTTTGGATGGTAACCTGACTTTGTTAAGCAGTTATATTCTGCTTAGCAGATATTTGAACCCTGTGAAACTGGATACAGGTGTACAACACAAGTGTGCAGTGTCTTGGGGTTCATTATCACCTTGAGATGCTGGCATACAGTTCAGTGCGTAGCCACTGACCAGAACGCTCTCCTTAGCACTGCGGCCATGGGCCTTCAGCACATTGATGGCCTTGATTGGGTACCGGACGATACCCTTTGGATCGGTCAACTTGACTGCCATGACAGCATCCACAATCATGTTAGCAAAGAAGTCCGAATCACTACAACAATTTGGGAGTCAAGGAAAAAGACAACCTGCTTGCCAAAACTATAGGGAATCTATTGACCACTGTCTGATATCAACAACAAACCACTACAATCTTTGGAATGTGATACACATATCAAGAAAAGGATACCGTCCAATCAGCTTGGACGACATGGAAGTCTTGGCTGCATTTAGGATGCAATCTTTGCCTAACTCGTCCACACCAATGGTAAGATGTTCCTGGATGTATTTACATGCCTCCCTGGTGACCAAAACCAAAACATACCCATGTTAACAGCAGTTTCATACTGTGAGGCTCAACCTTCAACTTACAATCCATTACATACAAATGGTTCTATCTGCATCTTTGCATAAGATCAGGAATATCTCCAATACATCCAAATGTTTTTAGAAATGAACGGAAGCAGACTGGACCTACTTGCAGGCTAGTCTGTAGCCGCTGATGATTGTCGTAGGGTGAATTTTCTGCTTGACCAGTTCGTCTGCGTTTTTCAACAGCTCAGCTGCAATAATAACCTGCGGTGGAAATGACTGAGTTGAGTATCACTTGGCAAACAAGAAATGACGACTATTTCAAATTAAATATAAGCCTACAATGTTACCAGTAAACAGTATCTCTTTAATTCAGACTAAACCTGAAGCCACAAAATACTCCCAATGTAATTCAGATCCAACGTATGGGCAGCCGCAATATATTTCATCACCGTCATCATTAACTGACACTTGATGGTACTTGAGTGTGCTTTTTTCACACAAACATTACAGAACCTGGTAATTTTGGGTTTACGAACCATAACTGAGCACTATGTGTGTACTCTCTGTGATTTTGTTCCTATGGAGTGAAACCTTCCTGAATTTCTGAAGTTAAAAGGCTTTCAGGTACAATTTTTGTCCAAAATAAATTTGTGTAAAACCATTTAAAGCATTTTCCTCTGAAAGGCATATCCCCTACATGCTTGCATGTCAATTTGTTAAAAACAACTTATTTTACAAGGTGCGGTTAGTGAAACCAAAAGTGTTTGTTATGCAGTTTTCAGAAAGTGTCCACATGAAGAACTTGAGATTCAATTCAGGAAAACCGTTTTGATTCGATACAGACCAATGCTGTTACCACAACACATTTCAGTCAGGCCTTACCACAGACGTGGTTCCATCGCCCACTTCTTGGTCCTGTAAATCAGCCAGCTCTACCAGAACCTTGGCTGCTGGGTGTTCCACCTCCAAAAGCTTCAGGATGGTGGCACCATCGTTGGTGACTGTCACGTCCTGTACACGCAAAAGAGAAGAGAAGACAATTCAGTATGATGTGCCGCCTTTAACCTTTAAGCCTAGTGTCCATATCTACATGAAGAGACGGAAAGAGCATCAATGCTCAGATTTCAATGATTTGCAGTCACTTGGAAACAATGTGTCGGAAGCAAAGCACGCAAAGACACAAACAGTC